CGCCACCCTCCCCTCCCCCCCTCTTCCCACATGAGCACATGGAATGGGCTGGACTCCCTCACTGCCATTGTCACCCCACCCTTTAATTTCCCTGAACTAGCAGCATACATCCTAAAACCGTTCAGCCTCAATTCTCTGCCACACTTAAAATTGTGTTCTTGAATAAAACACACATCAATGTTAAAACGCCGCAAAACATCCTCCAACCATACTCGTTTACCATCAGCTCAAAGGCCATTCACGTTTATAGATAGACACTTAGAGGAAAGCCACCCTTTCTGAATCTTTATGTCTCTGTTTCCTGTCTGTTACACTTTTTGCTGCTTCTGTCTTTTCCCGTGCACTCTTTCCCGCCTGGACCCCCCCCCCCCCCCGTGCACTACCCTGCCCCTTCTTAATCACTCCCGCCAACGTCTTCTTCCCTGAACGCTGAGCTGGTGTTATAACCTCCTCATCCGACGAGCCTCCAGCTCTCTTTCTAGATGTGCCCTCAAACTCCATATCAGTATTTCCACTTCCCTTGTGCACCTCAGCTTCCACCTGTAGCAACTGCAACATGCCAGACTCTGACCCCGGAGGGCCTGGAATCTGCTCAATCAGGTCCTTCTCAACCATCAGAATTCTCCCGTCTGTAGATGAGTTCTCTTCTGCAGGCACGTCCAGGAAAGACTTAATCATCTCCTGTAGGGGCGCAGATAACTCCTGTAGGTCACCGGCCTCTCCCACCCCCACAGGCTGCTGCTCAACACCCGGGTCTGTCTGCGGGGAGCATCCGAAGCCACTGGTAGCGTCACACAATTCTCTTCCACGCCCTCCACTTCGTCCGCCCAATTACCTTTGCCTACTGCACTCAAGTCTTCGGCAGAGGTGCCGCCGAAGACTCTGTGACTACTTGCCGTTCCCAAGGCCGCGGCGCTGCTGCTTTACCACACTCAGCCGCCATGTGGTCAAAAGCGCCGCACAGGCGACACGTCTTGCATTGTCCCGCATAGGTCACGTACATCTGTGTCCTAAAATCCTCCAGGACAACATACGAGGGAATAGGTCTTCTCAGTGTTATCTTGACGGTGTAAGATCCAGCAGGCAACCCTGCATAGATTCCATCCGTCCATCAGCCTAAAGTTATAGCATACACCTCACCATATCGTCGAAAAATCTCTCTGATATCCACATCGTCTGCCTCAAAAAGAACGTTACGGATCCTCACCCAGGTGTAGTATTTTGAGGCATCCTGCAGGCGCACCTCCAGTCCAGATGATAGTGATGCTCTTCTCCTGGTACTGAGTCACCGTCCTTTCATACACCTCCACTGTGCAGAACTTTACGAAGATTCTTGAAGAACCATTAAGCGCTATTCCATGTACTAGTTCTTCATTGTCAATGCCAAACGTGTCCTGTATAATCGTTGGTAATAAAAGAGGCATTCGTCGGATAAATTGTCCCTTTAACAAGGTCAACACACACGGTGTTGCTTCTCCTGCGGTAGCTGGCAGCCATCTTGGTGAAAACAGGAAGTTGCGCAACAGTGAAAGCAGGAGCTTTTTGCGCAGCGCGTCCACACAGCCCGAGAGCAATGAGGGCAATGTTTTTTTTTAATGAGTAATTCAAAAAATTCTGATATCCTAACTCTACAAAACTTTGAGAAAGCAATAAATGACATGACATGCCCGTGCACTCTGCCCAGTTCTAGACTTGTGGAACTCAGTGTTCATCATGAACTGCAAGAAGCTCCTTCCACATGCCTTAAATATTCTTTGGAGAGGGAGCATGGACACTGGTCATCCCACAGTCACTAAAAGCAACAGACGTAGGGGTCATTCCATGTCAAGTGGACAAGGAGTTCCCACCTGACCATTTCCAGTTTCAATAAAATTTTACATGAAGGTTGGCATATATGTCGTACTAACTTAGTTCATGATATGCAATAGCAATAATGCTATGGCCTTCAGAGTGGAAGCCTGTGTAAACTTCATCTACCCTCAACACACAATCAACAATGTTCAGATCTGCCATGGCAGATCTTGAAGAGTGAAGGTTGTTTGTAGACATCCCAATACAACTTCTGGAACTAATTTAAAAAAATTTAAGTCCTAAAACATATTTACCTGGAGAGAGTTCTGGGGGTCAATGCCCCCGTGGCCCGGTCTGTGACCAGGCCTCATGGTGGATCAGAGCCTGATCAACCAGGCTGTTACTTCTGACTGCACGCAATCCGGTGTACGAGCCACAGCCCAGCTGGTCAGGTACCGACTTTAGGTGCTTGTCCAGTGCCTGCTTGAAGACAGCCAGGGATCTATTGGTAGTCCCCTTTATGTATACTGGGAGGCAGTTGAACAGTCTCGGGCCCCTGACACTTATTGTATTGTCTCTTAACGTGCTAGTGACACACCTGCATTTACTTTTTTCACAGTATGAAGCCAAAATAGGCAAAAAAAAAATCTGTTGCATAAAACTGAATCTTGACTTCAGCTGCCTATATGTCTAAAGGAAAACATTATTTTAGTATAAAATTTTTGTAGCCAGCTACCCAAGTGGACATCATCACAGTTCTAAAATATCAGACTCCAAACCTTTTTAGTTCCTGTGCTAATGATACCTAAAAATGCCCTTTGTAAATTTTAGTCCCATTTTGAAGACCAGTAGCAAAAAAGCAGCACAACCAATTTTCTTAAAAAAACTTCATTAGAAAGAACAGATTCTAAACTACAAGATATCTTTTTCTGGACAGGCATTTTGCTCTTGAAAGGAGAGAACAAGCCTTAAAATAGTGATTTTTGGCTTCCACAATGTTACAATGAAAACCAGGCATTTTTCAGTTGCAACAATAGCTAAAACCTCATGTTTAGGTGTCCTTATATAACAGGGACTAGCTAGGCTAGCTTGCTAGCCAGACAACAGGGACAGTAGGTGCTGTCCCTGCTGTCTAGCAGTAAATGATTATCAAGGAAGTCATGAATTGATGTGGGCTGCATCCTGGAAAAAAAATCTAAAAGGCACCATAAAAGACATGAGCCACTCTGCTTGCCTTTCTTGGGTTATCCTGGATTATAACTTGTTTGTGGGTTTCCAAATTTTCCTCCTTTTCTTTTCTGTATCCACTTCATTGTGAAAATGTTTATTCTCTTGGATCAGATTGTTTGTGAAGGTGACTTAGAATTACAGTCTTTGTTATTGACTGCAATAATTTGGCTACTATAGTATAGTATTAAGGTTAACCATGTAGGTCCTCAGATTCAAATTACATGTACTGATATATTAGATGTAATGTGAAAGGCTGACACAGCAGGATCTGTATTGGGTCCTGACTCATGGAGTGCAGGTATAAAAGATTGTTATAGGTATAAAAGAGTGTTATATGTTGGAGTGCAAAGAAAGGGGGCAGCAGGGCATTCCCAGGAGAAAAAAAGATGGGCTATGCTGTCAAAGACTAAGGCAGAGCAAGGTACCTATTCACCCATCATGACTGTTAGTCAACTTATCCAAGAGCGATAAAATACAGTATCGGCATCTTGGAGGAATTAGTGTTGGATACCCCAATCAGAATGCTAAGCATGCAAGCAAGGAGGAAAATGTTTATATTAACACATCGGCTGTTTCCCACCAAGATAAGATGGCCCGAAAAAGAAAAACTTCCACCATCATTCACTCCATCACTGTTTTACCAGAGGCATCCTTACACTATATAGTTATAAAACTGCAACATTAACACCCACATTAACATTAATATCCTTTAACCCTTTCAGGGTCCAAGGCCCAAATCTGGAGTCACGCACCAGTGTCCAAGAATTTAAAAAAAAAAAATTTGTTATTTTTTCTTATGAAATCTTAGAGAATCTCTTTGTGAAGGTAATAAAACAAAAAGTACGAAATTTGGTGGAAAATTGATGAAATTATGCTCTCGCGAATTTTGATGTGTCAGCGATATTTATGAATCGACGATTATGCCGACTTTGACTCCCATTTTAGGCCATTTACATTATTCCAATCAACCAAATTCTTAGCTATTTCACTAGTATTACTTCTATTCTATCGATTGAGCACAAGAAATCGCCAAGTCAACTGTTTCAACTACAAAATAAAGTGATCGGAAATTGTTAATTTGGCCAATTTAACACAAAGTTCAAAATATTCCAATTTCAAAATAGGGTCCAGAATGAACAATGTAGGCATTCCTGGCACTAAACTAACATTTCCTCTGTTCATTAGTTATGTTTTGAGGCTTTACAAATAAATTCCATTTTGATTTTTTATTCACATAATGAATTTTTATTCACACCAAAAAATAGAAGATTTACTCTTATGCAATACTGTAATAATTGTATAAATATCATCACCATATTTGTGAATGTATATTAGACCCACCAGCTGACGTGTATTAGATGTGTGAGGTCGTTTGTTTACTCTTGAATATCGGCAAAAATTTAACATTTCTGCTACTTTGAGCTCAGTTTCAAGCCATTTCCAATGCCAAAACCAATCAAAATCATCTCTATTTCTGTAATATGTCTTCCATTCTATCAAATGAGACCAAGAAATCGCAAATACAACTATAAAAAAACATACGAAAAAACACTGCAAAGTTGCTGTTTTAATCGAAAAATCATGATTTCATTTTTTTTTCTCTCATTATACACAGTGTGCTGCAGGATCTGTTTTATGTGGTGCACACATACCACATAGATGTATTCTCTCATATCTAGGCCCAAATGTACCACTCACAGTTTATCAGAGTGAGCTGAGCTCATGGCGTAGATCTACGGTTTGGACCCTGAACGTAAAGCCGTAGATCTACGGGACGGACCCTGAAAGGGTTAAAAAGATAATAACTGTACTATGTATCAGCTGTTTTCAGTGCAGTGACATGTCCAGACCCCACCAGGGCCACTGATTGCATCTGCAGTTTTTCCCCTAAATGACACTAATTAGATGTGCTCTCACTTTGTAGGTAGTGAAATCTTTTAAAAATATCATTTTATTAATAACTGTTAAATATTTTTCAGATTATTGCATTTGATGAGCTGAAGACAGATTACAAAAATCCTATAGACCAGTGTAACAGTTTGAACCCTGTAAGTATTCTGTCTTTTGTGTGAGTTTTTCAGTAGATTGTATTTGTGTACATGATTGCACTACTTAAATTCAGTGAATTTCATATGTTCTTTAATTTCACAAGAGTTAAATAATGATGTACAGTATTGTACTGTTTATGTAAAAGTGTACTGTACTGTAGTGTTAATTTACCTTGAATCTCCCATTCAGTTCAATGGTACTGTAGTCACAAATCTCAATACATAATGAATTAAAATCAGTGCATAAGTACAAAGTGTTACTAAATGGATAACTAATAATTTTTTTTTTAACATTCTGCAGTTACAGTATTGTACTAAATGATGTGCTATTAGTCTTATTTTGTACAAACTTACCTTTACTTTTTTTTTTTTTTTTCAACAAGTCGGCCGTCTCCCACCGAGGCAGGGTGACCCAAAAAAGAAAGAAAATCCCCAAAAAGAAAATACTTTCATCATCATTCAACACTTTCACCACACTCGCACATTATCACTGTTTTTGCAGAGGTGCTCAGAATACAACAGCCTAGAAGCATACACATATAAAGATACACAACATATCCCTCCAAACTGCCAATATCCCAAACCCCTCCTTTAAAGTGCAGGCATTGTACTTCCCATTTCCAGGACTCAAGTCCGACTATATGAAAACTTTTACCTATGCTTAATATGGTAGTTCTGATAGCTGTAATATTACTGTTTCTGTTTAGGAGGCCTGGTCCAAGACCAGGCTGTGAAAGTGATGCTCCCAGAGACCATTAACAAATACGACATTTTAACATGCAGTAAACCCTCAATTTAATGGTCTGATGGGAAAAGAAGGTGCAAGTAATGGCAATTACTGGTGCCTTTTCCCATGACCATAACAATAACAGAAAATAACCTAACAATAACAGACAGTTCCGTAAACAGTAGACTTTGTTGTTTCAAAACCAGTTGGCCAAGTGAATTTTGTCCTGTATTTTTCAAGTTTGTTAAATCGAGAGTTTATTGTATTCCATACAGGGTGTAGCAAAAGCTGCTATACCAAGAATAATAATTATTACAGCATGTTTAGCTATACTGATTTGGGAACAATTTTTAATGTGGTGTGTTCAGTAGTGTTAACCCCTTTTTATTCTCGATAAATCAAATTACGCTGTGTCCTGTATATTAGCTATCTGTCAATTACATCATCACGGTGCAAAACAGATATGACTTTTTCTCTCCCAAGATTACAAATTAGACCAAAAAATTTCAGTGCTTCTTTTTTACCATGGAAATGGTTAAAATCTGGCTGATCAGACACTCCTAAATCTTTCTTCAGGCTTTGATGAGTTTTATGTTTTGGTCACCCTGCCTTGGCAGGAGACAGCCACTTAAAAAAAAAAAAATGCATAATTTAATACTGCGAAATATCTTAACACTGTTGTTATATAAATATCTGTGAAAGAGGAAGTTAGTTGCTAGTACTAATAAAGCTTACCTTTTTTATTTATTTAAACAGTTAGTCTTGCCTGAATATGCTCTGCATCTTTTCTTCAACATCTTGTTTTTGATTGCTGGAGAATGGTTCTCTCTGTTGCTGAATCTTCCTCTCATCTTATACCACATTAACAGGTATTTTAATTTTTTTAAGTGTAATCTTTATATTAAGAACTTGCTTTTGAAATTTATTTGGGTGTGAAAAATGGATTTGATCGTCTCTGTGACCTTGCTCGAATTGTACATGAGGGTTGGATAGACAGTATGCTCTTATATTTTCCTTTAGTATTTTACCTTTCAGCAGCATCCTCAAAAGATCAAGATTTGCTTTGCTATCATCTCTGGCAGATTCATGTGCAGATATTCATGCGTGTGTTCACATTAGAAAATGACGCAGACATGGTAAAACTGGAGAAATGGTGGAACATGAGAGTAATATTACATACATGACAGTAGCAACATGCTGTCTACATGGCTGCCGTTGACATCAAGATGATTCACTAATTTTCTGAAAACAGTCAATTTGCCAGAGATGGGGTTCTTAACACTTGCAGAGTGAATTAGGGTTGTATTTAGATTGGCCTAATGAACAACTTACAGAATATCATTTGTTGGTAATACGTAATATGGTAAAACCTTTAATTAACATCATCCCCTTTCCTGCTAAGTAGGGTCTGGGTCTTTGTTACTGTAAACAGACCTCTCTTTCTAGGCCTTAGATATTAATCCTTTCAGGGTGGGTCCCATTGTACTATGGCTCTGAAGTGCAGGTCAGTCCTGTTGTATGTGATGAGCTCGGCTCTCTTAGATATGCTGTGAGTGATAATTTTGGGCCTAGATATGATAGAATGGTTCTGTGTGGTATGTGTGCACCATATAAAAAAATTCTGCACCACACAATGCATAATGGAAAAAAGCCTGTGACCCTGTTTTTGGTTTAACTCGTAAACGGGTCCAAACGTATATATACGTTTTTACCGCTGGTGCCCCAAACGTATATATGTTTTATTTTTCCTGCCTTCAAATTTGGCACGATTGGTCTGAGATGCCTTGTCAGCATAGAATGGGTCCTAACACTCAGTGTGCATGGTATTAAAAAAATCTGGGACCACTTAGTACCTTGTGGGAGCACCAGTTCAAATGAGCGCCAGCTAGAGCAAACAGTGCAGCAAACACCTGGGATTCACTGACTTCATGTAGTATTAATTCTCTCATTTTAAGAGGAAAGTGATTTTGACCCCGAGTTTAGTGGCTTTGAGGTGGATGTGGCCATAAGTGGTTGATGAAATATCAAAAAATCTCGATAATAACCCATGTGCAACACCCTTACAGAATGTCTGATAACCTATGCCCTAGGTAAAGAGAAACTATTCTTTCTGGCTGGCTGGCTGGCTGTCTCACAGATGCACATAAATACAAGGATACATAGCATAAATTACCTAGGAAACAAAGCAGGGCTGATGCTCATCAAATGTCACCTCTAATCTTTTCTTATCAAGTGTTATCACTACACCCTCGAGTATGCTCATCAAACATCAGCTCTTATCAGACGTTATCTCATCTTATCATGTCACTGTCAGGGGTGGACTTTGTTTTTCATGCTTCAAGGGAACTTATTACCTATTATTATTACCTATTCTCCTTCTCGTCCTCCTCATCCTCATTATTATTATATACGTATTTCCACATAGCCAAAACATTGCTGGGATCTATAAATGCTTTGTATATACGTATTCCAATGACCAAGGCGGGTGTAAATGTCCACCTGTCAGTGTGTTTGTGAATGTGAGTACAATTTAAGTACCTAATACTAGTGTCAGAACAGAGATTGGTTATAAAATGACAAGAACAACTATAAATTGTAATTATCAGAACATAAAAATTATATAAAATACAGTGGACCCCCGCTTAACGATCACCTCCAAATGCGACCAATTATGTAAGTGTATTTATGTAAGTGCGTTTGTACGTGTATGTTTGGGGGTCTGAAATGGACTAATCTACTTCACAATATTCCTTATGGGAAAAAATTCGGTCAGTACTGGCACCTGAACATACTACTGGAATGAAAAAAGTTCGTTAACCGGGGGCCCACTGTAATATGAAAATAGAAAAAAAAAGGTATATCGGCAACACTTCTGCAAGCAGCAGGACTGGATGTTGCTGTCACGTGAGCATCCAGTGCCAACTTCTCAACCTCGTATCTCTGTCAGTACTGACCCTAATTTTTTTTTTATCCTAAAACACTAAGAAAAATGTGCTCTTTATTTTCATTAAAAAAAAAAAGATTTTTTATTTTTTTTATTTTTCGGGGCACTGGGGTAGTGAACATATACGTATATACGTTTGTTTGGACCGTGTACGGGTTAAAATTGAATGTGTTGTGTATTTTCATATGGCTTGTATTCTTGGTTTCTCAGTCTCAATTGATAGAATGGAAGATATTACGGAAATAGAGATGATTTTGATTGGTTTCAGGACTGAAAATAGTTTGAAATTGAGCTCAAAGTAGCAGAAATGTTCCACTTTTGCCAATATTTCAGAGTACACAATACACATCTTACTGATCAGTCTAATACCTGTCTACAAATGCAATGACATTATTTATACAGTTATTACAATAGTGCAGTAGTCTGCATATTATTCTAATCAAAGAAAGTGCTAAACCAACAAGGGTCATACAGCGCTGGGTAGTCTGCATAACAGTAAATCCTCTTATTTTTGTGTGAATAAAAATTCAAAATGGAAAGTAAGGGTAATATAAGAGGAGCTTGGAGGCATGACTAATGAACAGAGAAAATGTTATTTCAGTGCCAGGAATGTCTGCATTGCTTATTCTGGACCCTATTTTGAAATTGGCATTTCTTGAAATTTTTGTGAAATAAGCCAAATTACTGATCACTTTATTGGGTATAGGTACCATCCGACTTACAACCAAGCTTGGTTCCGACAGTCGTAAATCAAAATGGACATAAGTCGAACCTTGCTACTGAATATCAACATCACACTTTTGTAATGATTTTATTTTATTGTTTTATTTTGGTATTTCATTTTTTTTACTTTTTATGCTGTTAGTACTGTATTTTATACTGTAAGATTTAAGATAAACACTGTGTTCAACACAAACAGTTGTTTATTTCCCAGAAATTTGGCATAAAAAACATGGTCGTATGTCGAGCAGGTCGTAAGCCGGATGGTAGGTGTAGTTTCTTGTACTCGCCTGATAAAATAGAAGGAATACTAGCAAAATAGCTATGAGTTTGGTTGACTGGAAGAATGGAATTAGCTGAAAATAGGGCTCATAGTGGGTGAATCGCTGATGTGTAAACATCGCTGAGACTGCTATCTTTGCGAGTGTGTAATTCCGTAAGTTTTCCATCAAATTTTGCACTTTCGGTTTCGTTATCTTTGGAAAAGGTTCTCCATCATTTCATGTTTTTTTTTTTTTTTTTTTTTTTTTTTTTTTTTTTTTTTTTAACCCTGGAAGCAAGTTTGATGTCAGGGCTCTCAGCAGGGGTCTTAAGCTGTCAGTGACGTAATATGTCATAACAATTGGTATCCATGACGTACTAGATGTCGTAATTACCTCAAATTTGCTGTGAGCAGTAAATTTTGGCCTAGATATGAGTGAATGGATCTGTGCCATGGATGTGTGTAGTATGAAAATTAAAAATCCTGCCCCGCTTGGTGCATGGTGGGAACGGCTCTGACTATTAGGATTAAAATAGCGACTTTGGGTGTTGTTTAAGGCAGGTTTCATAAATTTATTGGCTGTTTCCTGGTGCCAATAGATAGTCCAGAAGATACACGTGATATGCAGAAGTTCTTGGTCAGTTTAAGACTGGAAGAGGCTGAAATAGCCCTCAAACTGGTGGAAGCGTTTGATTTTGACCATCCTTTCTGGGAATGTGTAGGCTCCTCCCTTGGTCTGCAACAGTTATTGGGATGTCTTAAATCATGACCAGGCATTCTTAGCTATAGTTTATTAGCCAAGAAATATGGGAAAACATTTATTTTGTTGTAGGACAGTCTATTCGAGATGGATGACAAGTGTTATATAGGAGAGGCCAGGTGTGATTACTGAACAGAGGTAAAATTGTTTTAGTGGCTGGAATGCTTGCAGTATTCGTTTTGTAATTTGTTGACAGTAGCATAAAATTGGCCAAATTTCTGAATTCTGGGCACTCAGTAGGGTAGTTCTGAAGTTGAATGGGCAGTTTCTTGCGATCAATAGGTAATAAGGAATGAGTGCTAGTAAAATAGCCTGGTATTGAGCACATAAATTAATCTAAAATAGGCCTCGAAGTGGGTCAATTTTGTTCAACTTTTCACCTGCATAATTCCATAAATATTACATCAGATTTTAAATTTTTTATATAATTAACCTTTAGAAAAGGAATCTTAGATGATTGTGTTTTTTTTTTAATGTTTTCAAACTTATGGACAGAAGAGGCTTTCAATTTAACCCTTTCAGGGTTTCGGCCGTACTAGTACAGCTTATGAGCCAGGGTTTTTGACGTACTAGTACGCCTAAATTCTAGTGCCCTCAAATCTAGTGAGAGAAAGCTGGTAGGTCTACATACGAAAGAATGGGTCTATGTGGTCAGTGTGTGCGGTATAAAAAAAATTCTGCAGCACACAGTGCGTAATAAGAAAAAAAAACTTTGACAGTGTTTTTGGATTAAAACAGCGACTTTGCACTGTATTTTCATATGGTATTTATTGTTGTATTCTAGTTTTCCTGGTCTCATTTTATAGAATGGAAGACATATTACAGAAATTGAGATGATTTTGACTGGTTTTATAAAGAGAAGTACCTTGAAATTGAGCTCAAAGTAGCAGAAATGTTCGATTTTTACCAAAGTTCAAAAGTAAACAAATCATGCTATGTGTCCAATACATGTCAACTGGTGAGTCTAATATTCTTTCACAAGTGCGCTGATATTATTTATACCATTTCTACACCAATGCAGTAGTCTGCATAACAGTAAATCTTCTATTTTTTTGTGAGAATAAAAATTCAAAGTGGAAAGCAAAAGAATGTAAGAGGGGCATGGGGACATGACTAATGAACAGAGGAAATGTTATTTTAGTGCCAGGAATGTCTTTCTTGTTTATTCTGGACCCTATTCAGAAATTGGCATCTTTTGAAATTTGTGTGAAATTGGCAAAATTGCTAAATTCTGACCACTGTATTGGATAGTTGAAATCCGGAAATGGGTGGTTTCTTGTACTCATTCGATAGAAAAAATGGAGTTTTAGCGAAATAGTTATGATATTTGTCGACAAGTACACTAGAATTGGCCGAAAATTGGGCTCAAAGTGGGCAAAATTGCTGATGCGTAAACATCGTTGAGACTGCTAACTTCGCGAGAGCATAATTCCGTAAGTTTCCATCAAATTTCATACTTTTGGTGTCATTATGATAGGGAAAAGATTCCCTATCATATCATAAGACAAAATATTTTTTTTTTTTTTTTTAAATTTGGCCGATCCTGAGAACAAGTCTCTGAGAGGGCCTGTCGACCCTGAAAGGGTTAAGGGATTTGGACAGTTTAAGGGCTAAGAAAAAGAAAACAGACCCGATTCTTTACAGTGGGGGACTCAATAGCTACTTTCAAGTGCGCTATACATGTAAAGCGAAATTGAGAAAAGAAAATATTGGGCTCGCAAAAACTATTGGAAGAATATTTCTTTTAGAATGTAATTGCAGATGATTGGAACCTTCTGCAGAACCAGTACATACTTTATCATATAAAAATATAATTTAAGAAATTGTGTGATAAATTTATGCTTAAATGTGTCCTTCACATTTAGTTATGTTTTACATCTGTTGCATTTTAGAAATTTTATTTATTTTTAATTTACCTTTCTTATATGTACAGTATGTACTTAGTTTTTTTTAAACTTTGTACTTGATGGTTGATACTATATAAAAGATGTCAGATACATTTTATACAATCATTCATTCATTAAGACAGGCTTTGCTGTAAACAGATACTCTGTTATTAATTATTGTATTTAAATCATTAGGTATCGAGGGCGGCCAGTAATGACTGGGCCAGGATTGTATGACCCAACAAGCATAATGAACCACGAGGTCTTAAGCCAGTGTCAGCGTGAAGGTTGGGTGAAATTAGCCTTCTATCTCCTTGCCTTTTTCTACTATCTCTATGGGTAAGTAAAATGAGTATTATATACATGTACTGTAGTCCAGTAACCCCATAAGTCATGGAAATCACTGGTATCACAGTTTTCAGGAACAAGACCCCATACAAATTATGAATGTACATAAAGAACAAAAAGGCACAATGCCATGACTGGAGCAATACACAAATAACCCGCACGTGACTTGACCTGATTCTTTTTTCTCCTCTTTCTGTCTCGTCTTTCCTTTTTCTTGTTTTGGGTTTACTTTCTTCTACCTTGGGTGTTTTACCTTTTACTTTTTCCACCCCCTGTGGTTTTGATATTAACCCTTGTAGAGTCCATAGCTCTCCTGCACTGCTCCTATTTCATGGCTTTTGATTACTACTACTACTACTATACTACTACTATACTACTACTATTATTACTATTATTACTACTATTATTACTATTACTACTATTATTACTACTATTATTACTACTATTATTACTACTATTACTATTACTATTATTACTACTACTACTACTATTATTACTACTATTACTTCTCCTCTTTTTTTTTTTTTTTTTTTTTTTTTTTTTTTCCACCAACCTCTCCCTACCTCACACTACCTCTTCTACTTCCACTACCAGCCTTACCTCTACTACTACCACTGCCTGCCTTACCTCTACCACTACTCCTCCTACCTCTCTTGTCCTGTCCCTGCCAGCTTGCCTTCCTGTCAGTACAACTTTGTAAATGGTCCAGGTTGGATTGAAACATTGTCATAAGCACCTCTCTCCTATGTGCAGATCATTTGTGTATGAATGTCCAGTGTATTACTTTCATCTTGGACTTACAATTCTAGACTATTTTGCATGATTAGCTTTTAATTTAGATATACCATAAAATTATTTGTAACCATTTTTGTCTTTTGCCATTAAGAATAAATTAAATGTATTTAAAAAGTTTCAGACTGATTTTAATCATTGACCAAAATATATAAATTAATCTTTTTCCACAGGATGATAGTGTCTCTCATCTCGGGAGCTTAAAAGCCATTCTGAAGTGTCATAAGAAAAGCCTTCACCTGCCTGCTATGGATCATTATCCTGCAATAATTATTGCCTGATCAGTTATTTGTTCATGACTTTGTTGTGATATAAAACATGAATTTTGGTTAAAATATTTGTAGCTCTGGTTTCTGTTAATCTTCAACATGGCAATAGAGCATACAAGCAAAATAAACATGCACCTATGTTCATTATGTGTAATATATAATGTTTGTGTATCTGTCATGACTTTCTTTGGTACTAATGAATGATTTATGCTTTATCATTATCGAGACATGATTGAAAGTACTTTGAGGTGTAGTGAAAGAAAAACTGGCACATATTTCACATTGTGTAGCTAAAATTAGGAGAGTCATAAGAGATTCATGAAATCTGTGGATGAGTGGCTAACATTTAGCAGTATGGTATTGGAATATGCAGAAGAATGGTTAACAGTCAATAATGTGGGGAAATGGAGATTGTAGTTGTCATAAATCATAAAAGCATTAAAAGTCTTGCGTGTTTAATTTTGTTTCAGATTGAATTTCTTTTTTGCTCAGTTAAAGGAAGGAAAGTTCCTTATGGAATGTGGTTAGACTTAAATACACAGGTAGACAAAAATGTTCAGTTATTGGACACTTACCAAAGTGCAGTGAAATATATATCTGAGACTTGACAATATTGCTATTAATACAAAGAACATGTATGGTTAAATATGGGAAAGAAACTGTAGGTAGATAACAAATATTGCATCTTCAATAATGGTAATGAAGCAAAAAAAAAAATGGTTTGGTTGATTTTGTTCGGTATAAAAAAAACGTGTGCACCAGTAGAAAGCTAGATAAATTTCTTAAGAACGTACCTCATGCACTTCATTGTCAGGATTACACTGGCCCCAGGCTGGGCTGTGAGGGGTAGAAAAACTCTAAACTGACCACACGTATAAATATTCTTTTATATATGCTAGCAAGAAACTTTGACCTCAGACTAAGCTGCAGAAATCGGACTCCTACAACTAGCATACTGTTTTTTTTTTTTTTTTTTTTTTTTTTTTATATATATATACATACAGTATAGTTGTCTGTAGCAGGCACTGCCTTAGTTTTGCTATGCACTTAAAAGCCACTGTTCTTCATTGATACAGCACAACCTGGTGTGTGTGTGTGTGTACTCACCTAGTTGAGGTTGCAGGGGTTGAGTCCGAGCTCCTGTGTGTGTGTGTGTGTGTGTGTGTGTGTGCACATGCTAAACCACTTGTATTTCTTGGCATGATTACATTTTGGTGATACCTGAATTAGCAGTGAAAGATGACTATCTTAATATTTAAGATAGATACTAAATCCCAAGACAAGTTAGATTTTGCAGAGAGCTTGACTATTTTTTGGAAATTAATGAAGTAGTACTATAATAAATGAATGCAGTTCTTACCATTAAATAACTAAATGCAAATAGCTATAAGTGAAATTATTCCACAGTAATTTAGTATGTTTTTGTTAGTCTTTAAAAGTAATGAGTTTGCTTCATAATTTCTCAGAAGAAAAAAAGCTGTGATTTTTATTTGCTCAAATTTTCAGGGTAAAGTTAGTGAGAAAATAACATTATATTCAGAAGATTATATAAAATTATAGTTCTGCTTATATGCTGTCATTTTTATTATTGTCATGGAAACCAGCAGCAGATTGGTGTAGCTCATTATCTTCAATTTCTACATAGTAAAATTATTGCAGTGAATGGATCTCTGGCTAATATAATGAGGAAGTGTGTATTACCATATGAACAATGATTTTATTTGGTTGATTTCTTAAGTCAATCATTTGCACATATTTTATGATCTAGCTAGTCATAGTAAACTAATTGACATTGATTATGGGGGACTGATGTAGTCTCAGGTTTTTTTTTTTTTTTTTTTTTTTTTTTTTTAATTAAATAGGTTAATTCCTGCTTGGGAAGAACTTATTTTGTAAATATTATCCTTTTGCATTGAACTGTAAAGTAAAAATTAATGGTTTAATTTCTTTTAGATTCTCTTATATTTATGAAGTCTTATTTGATTAAAATAATAACACTTGGATCTTGTTAAATTCATTACTGAGATTTTGCAATAGTTTTGGATTACCAGTACATAAAAAAAAAAATATTATCAAAACCTGTGAATTAACTTAAGTTAGTTACTGCGTTGATTAGTTGAACAGCTAAAACGAACAAATAGTAATTGTAGTGCAGGAGTGAGCAATGCTTAAATTATTATATTGCTCATTCTCGTAAGATTATTTTTATTTTAATTGTGATAAATTGCTAATTATCTTTATTGGTTCAGTTTATTAAAAATGACACAAGATTTTCAAGATAAAATTTCATCTTGTGATATTTTATATGTAAAAAAAAAGTACTGTAGTAATGTAAAATTTTATTATCATTGGAGATATTGTCATAAGTGACTAGTTTTCTATACACAGTAGAGTACTGTATATACAGTGCATTATTGATCATATATTCAAGGTTCATGAACTAAACAATGGAAAGGAGTTTAGTTACTGTAAAATTTTCCCTTCTTTTATTTGCATTAATTTTTAATCATTGGATTGTACTACCCATGAGTATACAGGAAAATTATTTGTGGCTTTTGGATTTTTTTTTTTTTTTTTATTATTAAAATAGAAAATAGTGTAAAGTGCCCAATAACTTTAACTTTCTTGGGATTGTATCTCCCATGTAAAGATGCCTGTGGTCACCAGCAGCAATAGTTCAGCTCAGGGTAGATACAGTAGCCTCATTTGGTATCTGGACACTGAATCTGGTGCCAATATCAACCACTCCAGTGAGTGGAGACAAGTGGTTTTTATGACTGTGTGTGATGTTGGGGTATGCTTTTCTATTCATAGCTAACATACAAATTGGAAATGGAAACTAGACAACATTTCAAGCTGTCTTGGACTGTTATCAAGTCTACATGATAGAGGTCCATTTGAATGATCTAGAATTGACCCAAAATGTTGTCTTCATTTCCAGTTGCATAGTTGTGAATTGATCCAGTAATGTTATTGTTATTTATTCTTCATGCTTTTGTAGTGAAAGGAAAATCACCACAGGCACAGCCAGATACTTGAAACCCACCTGTCAGAGGGTTATTGCCATATATATATACTCAATTTTAAGTCAGGCAAATGGAAAAAAATTATAATCTTCATATAAAATGTTTCACTTGTATTCAAAGCCTATTGTTGAAAAAATATTTTTTTCAATTATTTTACTCATTAACTTAAATTCTCATGAACTAAAATGGTATTTGTTTCATCAGTGTTTCTATCCAATTTTTAGATTATTTTTAATGAGTACAAGCGGTCATTGTGGCTGTCCTGGACCCGATGTGATAACCAAATACAGATTATTTTTTCCTTAATATGATTATCCTTTTCCTCTCTTCCAGCAGAGAAGCGAGAGGATATAGTGATCATCATTTTGCCTGTAATTACAAGAGTGCATACATTTTTCACAGTAATGTTACTATTATTTGATAAGATGGCATAAATATGATCAAATCATCACATTTTATGACCCCTGCTAGTCTTAATTTGGCTATGGAAACTGTATAAGTATTGACCATTGTACATTTTGCTATCATACAAATGGTTCCTGAGCTCCTTGGGAGTGCTGAATTGAGATGAAATGCAGCACTTAATTGGAATTTCAACTACTGCACTTTGCATATGGTAATATGTTTACAAACTTTAAGGTTGTATTGCATGTATTTTTGTAACATTGACAAAAATGGGAAGCAAATCAAATAGCTCCTAGAAAAAATATACACAAACTGACTAGACTGAATACTCTTTTGTGTAATTTTGTGAATTGTACAATCGAAGATTTCAGTAAAGAGTGATGTGTTTAGTTTCTAAGTTATAATGTACACTGACTGCCAATATTTATCAATATAACAACACAGGAGAATAATGGAAGAGATGTATGTGAAGCATTCTTTACTTCAAATGTAACTATTAATTTTAATGAACTACTTAAACAACCCTTACATGGCATTTACATTATTTTTGCCAGATGTGTTAAGATTCTTTATTTACATTATGTAGTTTATTAGAAAGTAAAAGAAATTTGACATCTCATTGATTTTGCTTATGTAATAAAAAAATTTCCAAATAAAAATACTTTTTTTTTTTTTTTTTTTTTTTTTTAAGCTTAATTTGGCAAGAAGGTTTTTGGCACGAATATATGAACCAAATGTCAAAATCCATTTTCCTTTAACAAAGATATATATTTTTGTGTCTGTGTTATACTTATTGTTTATCTCTGCTATTGCTTATGAATATTTCATGTATTCATGTACAGTATAGGAATTTATGTGGAATTATTGTACTTACATTAAATTGAAATCAGATCTTTTTTTTTTTTTTTTAATTGTCCTGAAATAATTTATATAATGTGGCTAACTTAATATTCAAGCATTAACAAGTCCAATATACATTACTTAATTTTTTTTTTCTAAGACTTTGGCCATCTCCCACTGAGGCAGGGTGACCCAGAGAAGAAACACTTTCACCTTCACTTAAATTGTTTCATCAATTATGTTTTGCATTTAGTGACTTTTGCCATAGTATTTCATAAAAATGGAAATTTTTAAATATCAGTTAACCCTCAATGTAACAGGCTAATAGGGGTGGTATGTGAGCATGTTCGTAAAATTATTTTATTTATAACACATTGGCCGTTTCCCACCAAGACAGAGTGACCCAAAAAGGAAGAAACACTTATCATCTTTCACTTCACTGTCTTGCCAGAGGCATACCTACACTACAGTTAAAAACTGCAACATAAATACCCGTCTCAGAGTGCAGGCACTGTACTTCCTACCTCAGGACTCAAGTCCTGCTTACCTGTTTCTCTGAATCCCTTCAAAAATATTACTTTGCTCACACTCCAACAGCACATTGTCATAAAAACCATTCATCTCCACTCGGTCCTATCTAACACTCACAAACTCCTGCTTGAAGTCCAAGACCCTTACAGCCAAAACCTCCTTTATCCCCCTCCCTCCAACCTATCCTAGGCTGACCCCTACCCTGCCTTCCTTCCACTACAGATACGCTCTCCAAGTCATTCTATTTTGTTCCATCCTCTCTAAATGTTTGAACCATTTCCAAACTACGGATTCTCTGCATTATTTTCACACTGCACATTGTTCTCGGACACGAGATCTCCACTGCCTCCAGCCTTCTCCTTGTTGCAACATTCACCACCCATGCTTCACACCCATATAAGAACATTGGTATAACTATACTATCATAATTTTCCCTATTTGCTTCCATGGATAATGTTCTTTGTCTCCACAGACTCCTCAATGCATCGCATGCCTTTTTTCCTTCATCACTTCAGTGATTCCACTCCTAAATATCTGACTACATTCACTTCTTCCATACTCCCTTCAATTTTTCATTACTTAAATTTTTTGTTATCCTCATTACCTTACTCTTCCCTATGTCCAATTTTAATTTCCTCTTGCATACCCTTCCAAACCATACAACAAACGGGGATAGAACCCGCAATCAGAGTCTCTCAAAACTCCAGACCGTCGTGTTAGCCACTGGACCTGCTAGCCACATAAGATTCATCCAACTAGGTATATTTCTACATCATAGGAAGGTTAACATAGGCACCACTGTGACCACAAATGCAAGTTTTTACAGACGAATCTCCAACTAGCACGGCTGTGACGAACTCTAGCTCAAGTCCCCTCAAAGCCGTCAACATGACTCACGAAATCGTAATGGCACGATTGCAAACAAACCATACCACAGACGGGGATAGAACCCGCTATCAGAGAGTTTAAAAAATCCAGACCATCACGTTAGCCACTGGACGAGCTAGCCACATAAGATTCGTCCAACTAGGTCTGGAGTTTTGAGACACACTGATCGCAGGTTCTGTCCCCGTCCGTGGTGTGGTTTGTTTGCAATCGTGTCATTACGATTTCATGAGTCATACACTTCCAGACTCGGTCACCAACATCTGCAAATTCTCTTCAGAATCAAAAGCAGTGTCATCAGCAAAAAGCAACTGCGATAACTCCCACTTTGTATTAGATTCTAAATCTTTTAATCCCACACCTTACCAACACCCAACCATTCACTCTTACAACCCACTGAAGCCATTGCTAGCGTTCTTTTGTTATACAACCCCATCTATAAATATACTGAACAATCATGGTGACATCACACGTCCCTGTCTAAGGCCTACTTTCACTGAGAAATAATCTCCCTCTCTCCTACATGCTCTAACCTGAGCCTCATATAAACTCTTCACTGCTTTCAGTAACCTACTTCCTATTCCATACACTTGTAACATCTGCCACATTGCCTGCCCCCCTATCTACCCTATCATATACCTTTTCCAAATCCATAAATGGAACAAAAACCTCTTTACCCTTATCTAGAGACACACAACAGTCTCTCCACTAGTCAATATGGCTTTCGTAAGGGCCGTTCTACCATAGACCCCTTACTACGCTTGGATACGTATGTTCGTAATGCCTTTGCGAATAACCACTCAGTTATTGCCATATTTTTTGACCTCGAGAAGGAATATGATACAACTTGGAGGTATATTATTTTGGCCCAAGCCCACTCCTTAGGCCTCCGAGGCAATCTACCATCCTTCCTTCCTTAAAAACTTTTTAACTGACAGACATTTCCGTGTTCGGGTTAGTAATGTGCTCTCCCCGGACTTTGTCCAAGCTGAGGGATGTGTTCTGAGCACAACACTTTTTCTCCTTGCTATAAATGATTTGGCCTCTAGTCTTCTATCCAATATTTGGTCATCACTCTATGGTGATGACTTCGCTATAGCTTGTGTGTAGGCGCTGTCACCTCATTACAGTTTCTCTCCAGCATGCGGTTGACCGTGTTTCCAATTGGGCCACCACGCATGGGTTTAAATTTTCCAGTACCAAAACTTGCCAAATTACTTTCACTAGACGCTCTGTCATCTCCGATCATCCTTTGTACCTCTATGGCTCGCGTATCCCTGAACATGATACAGTTAGGTTTCTAGGCCTTCTCTTTGACCGTAGGTTATCCTGGAAACCTCATATTACCTCTCTCAAGGCAACTTGTCACAACTGGCTGAATCTTCTTAAAACCTTTGCTCATCTTTCATGGGGAGCTGATCGTCGAACTTTCCTTCGCCTACATTCAGCCCTCATTTTATCGAAACTCGATTATGGTGATCAGATCTATTCAGCAGCTTCTCCTACTACTCTCGAGCCTTAATCTCATCCATCACCAGGGATTACGTTTGTGCCTTGGTGCTTTTCGGTCTTCTCCTGTTGAGAACTTCTATGCAGAAGCGAATATTCCATCCTTGTCCAATCACCGTGATGCCCATTGCCTTCGCTACTATGTTCACTCTCATGATCTCCACAGTCTTTCGCAGCGCTGTATAACCCTTGTGGTTTAGTGCTTTTTTTATTATAATCCGCAGTCCTTCCATATATAGAAGTCACTGATGTTAGTAGACATTCTTAATTTGTTCGTCGCCCCTATTTGCTCTGTCCCTTTTCTCTTCGACTACATTTGCTCATCTTCCCTTCAGTTACCGCCTTTCTATGTTCATGTAGCATCTCACTTTTCCCTGCCTCCCTGGGAAGTTCCAGCTGTCCAAGTCTTTTCTTTCTCACTCCCATGCGCAAAAGCCCAACTACCTACGGTAGCTTCCGGCTCTCTTTTTCTTGACCACTTCCGCTCTCATTCTCATGCCATCGCAGTGTACACAGATGGCTCTAAGTCTTCTGAAGTCGTTGGATTCGCAGCAGTGTTTCTGGACAGTGTCATGTGAGGACATTTACTATCTTCAGCTAGCATTTTTACAGATGAATTTTATGCCATTCTTGCAGCATTTATCCGTATTGCATCTATGCCTGTGTCATCATTTGTGGTTGTCTCAGACTCAGTGCTCTACAGGCTATATGAAAATTTTATACACCTCACCCCCTAGCCCTCTGTATCCAACTTTGGCTACGCCGTATCTCTACCAAGCATGAAGATATTGTTTTTTGTTGGGTCCCTGGTCATGTTGACGTACAGGGCAATGAATAGGCAGACACTGCTGCGCGGTCAGCAGTACATGGCCTACCAGTTTCATATAGAGGTGTTCCATTTACGGACTATTTTGCTGTAATAGCTACCCACCTTCACACCCGTTGGCAACAACATTGGTCTAATCTACTCTGTAACAAACTTCATTCTGTTAACCGAGTATAGGTTACTGGCCGTCTTCTTGTCATCAGTGCCGAGGTTGGGAGACCACACTCTCCCGTCTTCGCATTGGCCACACTCGTCTTCCTCATGGGTACCTCATGGAGAGGCACCCTGTTCCTCCCTGTGAGACGTGTCAGGTTCCAGTATTGGTTAGCCACATTCTGTTAGACTGCCCTCTCTATCAACGAGCATGCAGAATTTACCTCCAACATCGTCTCCGCTCTACTACTACTCTCTTTACCTTCCCTTCTCGCTGATGGACCCTCTTTTAATCCTGACTCTCTCATTGACTTCTTGACAACAACTAACTTACTCCACAAACTCTGATGACGATACCTTTTGCACTCCCCTCAGCCCTTTCTACCTCAATCTCTTGCTACCCTCTACCCCTGTACTATCCACTGCCCCGCTGTTCTCTGTAACCTACTAATTATGCCTCTCCCTTTTGCCACCTGATGCCCCCACTTCCTTCCTGCCCTGCAGTGCTGTATAGTCCTTGTAGTTTAGCGCTTCTTTTTGATTATAATAATAATTTACCCTTATCTAAATACTGTTCACCTATATGTTTTACTGTACTCACTTTGTCTACAAACCCCCTACCCTTACTAAAATTCTTGTTCATCTGCAGTCTTGCTCTCCATCTTACTCTTAATTCTTTCAGTAATAACTTTACCATATACTTTACCAGGTATACTCAACAGGCTTATTCCCCTATATTTTTTGCATTTTGTTCCCTTTGCCTTGATACAAAGCGGCTATGCATGCCCTCTGCCAGTTCCTAGGTACCTTACCTTCTTCCATATATTTATTAAATTAAAGCATCAACCATTCCAAAACTATATCCCAACCTGCTTTTAACATTTCTATCTTTATTTACCTGGAGTTTACCTGGAGAGAGTTCCGGGGCTCAACGCCCCCATGGCCCAGTCTGACCAGGCCTCATGGTGGATCAGAGCCTGATCAACCAGGCTGTTACTGCTGGCTGCACGCAATCCAACGTACGAGCCACAGCCCGGCTGGTCAGGTACCGACTTTAGGTGCTTGTCCAGTGCCTGCTTGAAGACAGTCAGGGGTCTATTGGTAATCCCCCTTGTGTATGCTGGGAGGCAGTTGAACAGTCTCGGGC